GACGCAGGTATTGTACACAGGTAAGTTGGGGAACTAGGGATCGAGCCCTGGGATCTACCTCAGCTACCACGAATTGGTGAATACCGTTTCAGTATGTAAAAAGCCAGCTTTTCTTTCACCACATCCCAGTGGGCCTGAATACCATTCTGCACCTGTTGCTGAACAGATTCCGTCACTTCTTTTCCATCCAGGCGCACTCCATCCACTTCCAAAGTGCAACGTCTGTGCCATAGGGCCCAAAGGACCGACCTTCTTCCCAGGGCAAACATGTTACGCTCGAATGGACTGACCTGATCCGGCTGCCACGATCCACACAAAATTGCTCTCCAGTCCCAGGGCCATTGCTGATCCGTGCCCAGATGTCTCCAGATGCGATCCCACCACCTCCATACCCAAATGGAGCTTGGACACTGCATAAAGATATGTTCCATAGTCTCGGGTATCTTCCGGGTGCGGAAGGCACCACTGCAGCGTTTGCACCACGGAGACGCTAAGCCCCGTGGTTCCAGAGTGGTTCTGTCGACTAACCAATCGTTTGTCGGAAGGCAGCGGTGCTTGATTTGCCACTGCAGAGGGGTGGTTTTTGCAGGTCTCGCCTTTATTCCAGCAAACCATTTGATCTGCCTCGGGGACTCTCTTCCCACGTTAAGGTGACACATCCACCTCTGCGCAACTTTCTCTTTCAGATCCAGCCGCGGCCTTAACATCCTATATGCTGACTTGACCTGCAACATGTGTAGGTGTAATGTGATTGTTTTACCTCTACTCTGGGATGGAGTCCAGGACCACGATGCCGGGTCGAATGCCAGCTTTTCCAGTGGGATGTCTGGCCGGTGTGCTGCCCAGATCCAGTAGACCAGGGATTCGAGGATCCACTGAGGGGGCCCCAAATGGCCCCGGATCAACGGGTTGTTAGTCTGTTCTTAAAAAAAAATCAACCAGCACTGTTAGATCCCGGTGGGTGACCACAATGTTCCCCACTACACTCGGGTCATCCCTAAGGGCAACCCAGTCACTCTCCCCGAGGAGGGGGCGGGGGGTCTAAGAACGCGCACCCAATTCAGGGGAATAGAATCTACAATAGTGTCCAGCGCCCCCCCAAGGTTATGACAGTACCTCAGTCTGTTCTTCAGGGTTTCTACCGCGATCCAGTCCTGCTGTTGGTCCCAAATATCTTCCACCCTCACAACGCCCTTCCTAACCCAACCCTTCTACAGGCGACCGGTGCTCAGGAAAACCCTGCTATGTGAATCTGTGATCAACCTGTTACCGAACAATGGCTGCCCTCACCTCTTCCCACCACGATGTGGGGGGGCGGGGTTGTCAGGGAGGGGGAGCTTCCTCCATATCCTGAGCAGTGTAGGTCAAAACGCGTCATAGGGGATATCGCGCTGGCTGTTTATCCTCGTCAACCGCTGCGGTGGCCCTACGCGGGATAGGCCAGTATCTATTCTCCAACCATAGTAGGGGATCCATATCAGGGGGAGCAGGGGGGGCTAGTCTCCTCAGTTGCTCCATGGCCAAAGCCCTCCAGGGCAGCTGTGGATTAAAAATCAAACTTTGGATCCACTGGAGGGCGAGGGCCATGGGTTGTGATGTGGGGTCAATGATTCCCAAACCCCCTTTTGCCTTTGGTTGGATCACCGACTCCCAGGCCACTCTACTGATCACATGCTTTTGTCTGTGGTCGCCTCTCCATAGAGGAGGGTAGAGGAGGGAAGTGGCCATTGACCTCAATCTCCCACTTTTTAGCAGTTTTCTGGAGTTGACGAGCCACCAATGCATGCCATCACCGGGCCCAGAGCCATCCCGAAGGGCCAGCTGCTCAGCGGCAGAGGAGAGAGAGAGAGAGAGAGAGAGAGAGAGAGAGA